ATGCTTTCTGCCTTATAAGGTCTGTTCACATTTAACGGGAGCACATAACTGAGTTGCTCTCCGTCTGGTTCTGCTGGCCACCTGGGGATCTGATTTTTCAGTGTTTGTCTACTCTTCTGCTGTGGCCTTTTAAAGCTGTAGATCATTTATCCAACAGCTGGTAATGGCCAAGCAGAGGCCCCTTATAGCAGGCATGTGATGCACTTTGGCAGCAAAACATGCTGTGATTAGTAAATATGTTGTAATTGGGTATCATTACATGGAAATCGACTAGTGTATTTGCTAAAAACTCAAACTGGACCTAAAACAAAAATCGGTTTTCATCTGAAATAGTCGAGGTGACCTTTTTTTTTTTTTTTGTCTCTTCTTGGTTTTCTTACACCTGTGATTAAGGACTTGGTTCCACGTTCAGGTCTAAATTTGAGTCGGAATCTAGAACTGAGACTCTGCATGTAGACTGATGACAAAAAGCAGAAACGTGGAAAGCAACTGCAAAGTCAAACTTTCGAGTCATGTGTAATGCAGATGTGGATGTGTGTGCTTGTTCTGTCTTTCAGGACTTTCTTTCAAAGTGTGTTATTGATGGAAGATGAACAACTGAGAGTCTAGATATTGTCGTCTTTCTTTTTCATCAAAAAAGGTACAGCACAGACAGCCAGTTGGCCACGGCCCAGGCTGTACATGTAAGCAAGGCTAGGCTGATCCTTCCCTGGTATTTTCTGAGCTACAGGTAGGAAATGAAATCAGTGATTAAGGGAGCACCTTAGGAATCTTATTTTTCTTCTGGATGCTCTTCTGTAAAGCTTTGATTTCAATACAGATCTCCCATAAGATGCAGGTGATATTTATGTTTAGCTGTATATCCACAGTGCCTATGATTTCCCACTATTTTATATTCAAATAACTATTTTTCCCCAACTTTAATATCAAAGTCATGTAAAATAAACATTTAATATGTAATAATACATAAAAATAATATGCAAGCCTTAGTGGCATGCGTGCATGGAAACAGGACTTCAATGTTGTATAGGTAAAAACAACAGCAAAAATGCCTAATCTAAACATCCTATCCGCCTAATTTAAACATCCCTTAATGGAAACTCGCAAAATGGGGACGGCGGCGTTTTCCGTGGAGCCGCGTTTCGGGCCTCCCCTCCCGCGGCGTGGGAACCCGGCAGTCGCTCGGCAGCAATTCCCTCTTTCTGATTTGGTCTGATCGTTTTTCCCTGTTCTGAAGGCACCCGAGCAAAGCTGCCCTTTCCTGTATCAGCCCTGAGAAAACCGCGTGGAAGCCCCGTGTGTGTTTATAAAGACCCACGCTCGCACGAGTGCTTATATGTGGAGTTCCTGTTTTTATACGTGTGTGTGCGCGCTTCCCCTCGGCCCTGCAGCAGAGACGTTCGTGTCACTGGCCATGCTGCAAACTGGGGTCCTGAGCTCGTCGCAGGCGGATGCCCTCCGTATGTGCGTGTGCTGTGCGGGGCGCGTTTTTATCGTACAGACAGGAGCTGGGGGACGCCGCTGTGGGAGCTCTTGAGCCTGATACGAAGGACAAGCAGCGGAAGAAAATCTGCTGTTTCCAAAAGCTGCCAGAGGGAGCCGCGGTATGTTGTAGCGTGCGAACTTCATGTAAGCTGAGGTTACAAACATGCCTAACACGTGCCATCTGGCCAGGGAAAAATCCCTAGCTCATTCCAGACCACAAGCTTTAGTGAGTATTTTATCGGGAAAAGCAGGTACGTATTGTTATATACAGTTTTCAGTCTCTTCTGCTTTTGGAAGCTCATCCTTATGGACAGTAAAGCCAGATGGTCATACTACATGTTCAGGGCAGGTAGTTCTGTTTGGTGAGATGTAGAAAAAGGTGTTATTTTCTTATGTGAGTTTGGCCTTCCTTCCAGATAGTGAGGGAAATTAGCCTCTCAAAGCAAAAGGCAGTTGAAGATTTGCTAAATGTTTGAGAGCCTTCTGTAGAAGGTGACATTGAAATATATATTATAGTGAGGAGCTGTTACTGATCCTCATTCTGGAGGTTTTACTGAAACCATTACTTTTAAACACCAATGTCCAGCACTTAATCAGCTAAAGCCCCTTCACACTGAGCACCTGAGGTCATTGGCCTGCTTTTCAGAGTCATGGGTCTCCTTGCAGGGTCGTGCTTCCAGAGACTTGAAGAGGGAAAGATTTTACTTCAGGAGCTTTTGACCACTGATCACTAGGCCCGACCTACAGCAGTTTCATTTGAATTGTCTATTTGATTGGAGAAAAGAGCAGGTAAAACACAATCACAAACAGTTCTTAGGTTCAAGTAGTGGCTTTGGTTCAGGAACTGAACTTGTTAGGGAGGTACTCATATCAATCCTGATAGATGGTCAACAATGTGTTTCTCCAGGGCTGAATATTAACAAAACTTATCATGACCTGTATATGAATTCTGTGGTTTTTTCCAATAGTTTCGGAACAGCTTTCCTGGGAAATGGTTCTTTGCACAACTCTCATGGTTGATTCTAAACCTCCTCTTACCAATTCTCCTGAGAATTTCTGGTTGATTTTGTGGCACAAAGTATTTACTGATGTGCTCTGCCAAGTGAACACAAGGCCTCAAATTGGATTTTATCCTCCCTGGGCAACTGTTTGAGATGCTTCGGTAGAATGTGTGTGCATATTTCCTGCGTGCCAGATTCTGGCCTTGCATCCATCAAAGTAAGTCTTTGGAAGTTCTACTGAAGGCTTAGAGCAGTCTTAAGTTATGTTATTGAGGTCAGATTGTGACCCTGAAGCTGGCGGAGACCCAAAGCAAGAAGTTTGTGTGGGAAATTGGGGAGGGTATAAAATAGCGCTTGCCACCGCTTTTATGAAGGTGTGAGCTAAGATGAAAGCTCCTAATCACTGTGGGTATTATCTACGGCTGGCTCTGCGGCACCAGAAAAAAAATACTCTGTGTGTGTGATATGTCCATAACTTCTGACATTGTCTTCCCACAAAGAAGAACTAATATTCTTTTCTCTTCCCTTCCCAGACCCTCAACAAGCTTCATGTTGGAAAAAGGCAGTTCAGCCACAGGTTCTTTTTCTCCTGCGGGATGCACAGGGGTCCGCGTGGCAGCCCTTGCCGTGCCGGGTTGTGTATCCTCCGTCCTGCGGGGCTGCGTTGGGCCGAGCAGCGTGAAGGGAGCCCCGCGCGGCTGCGCTGCGCGCGTGGGCGGGCGCCTCGTTCCGTGATAACTTCTCATTTATAGAGCCGTGAACATCTACAGCTAAAAATAAACAGTTCTGACTGGCTTTGCGTAGTTACTCCCACTAAAATGAGAGATGGAAAGGGGCTGGAAGAGAAACGCAGCGTTCACAGCGTGAAGGCCGGATCCGTCCTCGGTGTAGCTCAGTGCGGCCCTGCTGAAATTGCAGGGACAGAGGCAGTTCCCGGTCACTGATGGGCACTCTCTGCCCTATTCAGCATCATCTGGGTGAGACAGGAGGGACCAAAGAGCGCAGGCGTTTTGGGCACTTGGCTCTTGATCTCAAAGCACAGAGCTCCAGCCTCTCCCTTTTCCTGACAGCAAGCAGAACGGAATAGGAAGCACTCCCTTGCCTGATGCCTTTTTAAATGAAGAAACAAAAGCCTCACAACTCTCTCAAACTTCCCCAGTTCAGCA